GCTTCTCCGTGTCTGCCGCTAGTTTTCCTCGGCTCTCTTTATGTTTTTGAGGGCGCAATGGCGGAGCTGTAAACAGCGGCGTCCTGACCAATCACAAGCTTGCGTAATCCGTCTCGTTCGACGGATGTTTAAAAAAGAGAGCTCGACTCCGTCCGTCCTTGCGGAGCTCTCCGGCAGGCACGCAAGGACGTTGCGTGTCTCCGCACTGACGCAGACGGAGAAGCATAAATCAGGCTTAAGTCTGAGAAGCAACCATATCCAGGTAATATTTTTTTTTTTTGTTTAGTGAACCAGCTTTCAGGAATCATATGCTAACTTAGCTAGTTTCATTTATCTTTTAAGCAACTGAAAGACCTGTGGCTAAAAGTACAAATTACTATAGAACATACTAACAAGTAGATAAATAATATTGCCTAAATAAATTTTTATTTACTAATAAAAATATTTGATCTTCATGCTTATTTGTGTGCATAAAGTTTGTATACTGCATAAAATAGCATTGAAATATTAATTTTTATTGTCCTTATTATCTTAAGCCTAATGCCTGTATCTCTTTTAAAAAAGCATTCATTTAAACATTTTTACAGGCAGTTTGTGACCATCAGGACCGCTTTATTAACACCTATGTGGGCTGGCCTGGGTCGGTCCATGATTCCAAGGTGCTCTGCCATAGTCCACTGTACAGGCAGTCTGCTATCCTCCTCCAGGACACTTCATCCTCGCAGATGGAGGGTACCCCTGCCTCCAACATCCACTCCCCCTCATCACCCCCTACAAACGGGTGGTTCCAGGTGTGGGAGCCCAGCGCTTCAACAGCCATCATTCCAGGCACGCTGCATCATAGAGTGTGCTTTTGGAATGATGAAGACCAGGTTCAGGACCATCTTCCTGAAAGCGCTGGAGGTGCACCACACCTTTGTACCTCATGTAAGTTAACACACAGTGGGAAAAAATGTTGGATGTATTCTTTGATTTACAATTAAATATATAATCATGTTTTGTCTGTATTCCAGGTCATCACAGCATGCACCATTCTGCACAACATCTGCCTCAGTGCTGGTGGCATTGTGCTGCAGGAGGATGAACCTGAGGATGATGTTGCAGAAGATGAGGGGGAGGCTGGCTTGGAGGCCGTCAGTGGTGCACTGTGGCGGGACCAACTTGTTGCTGAGGTGTGTGCTCTGGAGGAGGTACCACCAGACCACGATTACTGTTAGCAGGCAAGTAATTTATGTAGGGATCTCTAATTTAAAAAAGCATTTAGTCTTTTGGTCTGCTAGTTACACGTATTATATTAATAAATCCATATATCTCCTTTTGCATATATCTAAATGTTAGTGATGTGACAGCCGTTGATTGAGCCAGCCCAGCAAACCCTTTTGATGGACGATGCAGGGGACAGTGAGATGATGCATCCAGAAGCACCCGCTGCAGACCACCCTGTGTGATGCTCCACTCTCCAACCAGAAAAGTCCAGGCACTGGTCTCGGTTCCAGCACTCCATCCCATCTCAGGGATCCATGTTCTGCAGATTTATCACCGCCAAAGATTTCCTGTTTACCAAATTTAAACAGTCCAGGAAAAGTCACTCAGGTTAATCCTGCTTTAAATGCACATACTTGTTATATTGTTGTTATCTTCAAATGATTTTTATGTATCAGTTTTCCCTCACCATTAATTTATCCTATGTTGTTACTTAAAAAAAATCTGAATAATAATAAAACCGTTAAAATGATCCGAAAGGAGTTATCAATTAATAGAAATTTTATTACTTCGTCTTCGTCTTCGTCTTCCTCCGCTTATCCGGGTCCGGGTCGCGGGGGCAGCATCCCAATTAGGGAGCTCCAGGCCGTCCTCTCCCCGGCCTTGTCCACCAGCTCCTCCGGCAGGACCCCAAGGCGTTCCCGGACCAGATTGGAGATGTAACCTCTCCAACGTGTCCTGGGTCGACCCGGGGGCCTTCTGCCGGCAGGACATGCCCGAAACACCTCCCCGGGGAGGCGTCCAGGAGGCATCCTGACCAGATGCCCAAACCACCTCAACTGGCTCCTTTCGATCCGGAGGAGCAGCGGTTCTACTCCGAGTCCCTCCCGAATGTCCGAGCTCCTCACCCTATCTCTAAGGCTGAGCCCGGCCACCCTACGGAGGAAACTCATTTCGGCCGCTTGTATCCGCGATCTCGTTCTTTCGGTCATTACCCAAAGCTCATGACCATAGGTGAGGATTGGGACGTAGATCGACCGGTAAATCGAGAGCCTGGCTTTCTGGCTCAGCTCCCTCTTCCCCACGACAGATCGGCTCAGCGTCCGCATCACTGCAGACGCCGAACCAATCCGCCTGTCGATCTCCCGATCCCTCCTACCCTCACTCGTGAACAAGACCCCGAGATACTTAAACTCCTCCACTTGAGGTAGGACCTCTCCCCCGACCCGGAGGTGGCAAGCCACCCTTTTCCGGTCGAGAACCATGGTCTCAGATTTGGAGGTGCTGATCCTCATCCCAGCCGCTTCACATTCGGCCGCGAACCTACCCAGCAAGAGCTGAAGGTCAGAGCTGGATGAAGCTAGGAGGACCACATCATCCGCAAAAAGCAGAGACGAGATTCTCCTGCCACCAAACTCGACACACTCCACACCACGGCTGCGTCTAGAAATTCTGTCCATAAAAGTGATGAACAGAACCGGTGACAAAGGGCAGCCCTGGCGGAGTCCAACCCTCACTGGGAACAGGTCCGACTTACTACCGGCTATGCGGACCAAACTCACGCTCCTCTGGTAAAGGGACTGAATGGCCCTTAACAGAAAGCCACCCACCCCATACTCCTGGAGCGTCCCCCACAGGGTGCCCCTGGGGACACGGTCATAAGCCTTCTCCAAATCCACAAAGCACATGTGGATTGGTTGGGCAAACTCCCATGCCCCCTCCATCACCCTTGCAAGGGTATAGAGCTGGTCCACAGTTCCACGGCCAGGACGAAAACCACATTGCTCCTCCTCTATCTGAGATTCAACTATCGATCGGACCCTCCTCTCCAGTACCTTGGCGTAGACCTTTCCAGGGAGGCTGAGGAGTGTGATCCCCCTATAGTTGGAACACACCCTCAGGTCACCCTTCTTAAAGATGGGGACCACCACCCCGGTCTGCCACTCCCTAGGAACTGCCCCCGATGACCACGCAATGTTGTAGAGACGTGTCAACCATGACAGCCCTAAAACATCCATAGCCTTGAGATACCCAGGACGAACCTCATCCGCCCCCGGGGCTCCGCCGCTGTGTAGTTGTTTGACTACCTCAGCAACTTCTGCCCCCGAGATCGGACAGTCCATCCCCAGGCCTCCCAGCTCTGGTTCCTCCTCAGAATGCGCATTGGTGGGATTGAGGAGCTCCTCAAAGTATTCCTTCCACCGTCCGACTATAGCCTCAGTTGACGTCAGCAGCTCCCCATCCCCACTGTAAACAGTGTGAGCGAGTTGCTGCCTTCCTCTCCTGAGGCGCCGGACAGTTTGCCAGAACCTCTTTGGAGCCGATCGATAGTCTTTCTCCATGGCCTCACCAAACTCCTCCCACGCCCGAGATTTTGCCTCGGCAACTGCCACTGCTGCACCCCGCTTGGCTATCCGGTACCTGTCTGCTGCCTCCGGAGACCCACAGACCAGCCACGCCCTGTAGGCCTCCTTCTTCAGCCTGACGGCTCCCCGAACCTCTGGTGTCCACCAGCGGGTACGGGGGTTGCCACCACGACTGGCACCGGCCACCTTACGACCACAGCTAGCCACAGCCGCCTCGACAATCGCAGAGTGGAACAAGGCCCACTCGGACTCAATGTCCCCCACTGCTCTCGGGACGTGGTCAAAGCTCTGCCGGAGGTGGGAGTTGAAGACGGTCTTGACAGGTTCTTCTGCCAGGCGTTCCCAGCAGATCCTCACTATGCGTTTGGGTCTGCCAGGTCTACGCGGCATGTTCCCTTGCCATCTGATCCAACTCACCACCAGGTGGTGATCAGTTGACAGCTCCGCCCCTCTCTTCACTCGGGTGTCCAAAACATACGGCCGCAGGTCAGATGATACGACTACAAAATCTATCATTGACCTGTGACCTAGGCTGCCCTGGTACCAAGTGTACCGGTGGGCATCCTTATGTTCTAACATGGTGTTCGTTATGGCCAAACTGTGGCTTGCACAGAAGTCCAATAACAAAACACCGCTCGAGTTCAGATTAGGTGGGCCGTTCCTCCCAATCACACCCCTCCAGGTCAAGCTGTCATTGCCCACGTGAGCATTGAAGTCCCCCAGCAGGACAATGGAGTCCCCTGATGGAGCACTATCTAGCACTCGTCCCAGGGACTCCAAAAAGGGTGGGTACTCTGAACTGATATTTGGCCCATAAGCACAAACAACAGTCAGGACCCGTTCCCTGACCCGAAGGCGCAAGGAAGCTACCCTCTTGCCCCCCGGGGTAAACCCCAACACACAGGCAGAGAGTCTCGGGGCTAACAAAAAGCCAACCCCAGCCCTCCGCCTCTCACCCGGAGCAACTCCAGCAAAGTAGAGTGTCCAACCCCTCTCCAGGTCTCGGGTTCCAGAGCCAATGCAATGTGTCGAGGTGAGTCCGACTATATCTAGCCGGTACCGCTCAACCTCTGCCACAAGCTCCGGCTCCTTCCCCGCCAGCGAGGTGATGTTCCATGTCCCAAAAACTAGTTTTCTTGTCCGGGGATTGGACCGCCAAGGCTCCCGCCTTGGTCTGCCACCCGATTCGCATTGCACCGGACCCTTCATGTTCCTCCTGCGGGTGGTGGGTCCACAGTTGGACGAGCCCATGTATCCGGTTCGGGCTGGGCCCGGCCGGGCCCCATGGGCGAAAGCCCAGCCACCAGGCGCTCGCTCACGGGCCCCAACCCCAGGCCTGGCTCCAGGGTGGGACCCCGGTAACCCTCCGGGCCGGGTACTACGACTCTTTGTTTTAACCGCCATGAAAGATCCTTCGAAAAAAATTTTTATTACATTTCATCAAATGTCAAATACATTCCAACAAATATAAAATTTCATAACAAATATCTTGAACCAGAACAAAAACTAATTTAAATTAAACTATTTCTCCACCATTCTCTCCATGAGGGCTAAAAATCTTTCCATCATCCTTTCTCTCCTCTCCTCCGCTTCCCTCTGCTGTCTGATGTCCTCCCTGATGACGTCAAGGAGTTCATCATCCCTGCTGCTCTTTCTTTTTCTCTCTATGTTGTCGGCTGACTCTCACCACTCTCCCTCTCATCTGTGTCCCCCACTGCTGCACTTGACCCATCCTAAATAGATGATAAAGAGAACAATAGAAGAAAGAAAACATGTCAACTGTATTAATAAAATAATGATAAACTGTACTTTTCGCAGCAGAACATAGATGGAAATACTATGCTCATATAATGTGTAATGGATTTACTCTTGTACCTCCATGCCACCGTGCTAAAAACATTAAATCAGTAATGTGGTCTCTTCAAAATTAATTTAAATAAACATTAAACTTAGTTTTCATTATTTTTGGCGTTCATTACATGATTAAATAAGATGCAAGCTCTTTTACGGTGAGTTTTTTCCTATTAAACATTCAAGCAAGTTTACGGTGGGGTGTTAACCTTAAAACAAATGATGAGAAGCTTTATTTGCTAAATAAACACACACACACAAACGGGAATTATGACGGGACCACCATACAAGCTCGTTCTCGCTGATTTCTGCTTAAAATGTACTTTATACAAACAAAAATGTCTATAAACAGAACCGCTTTCAGCTTAGTTTTCTACCGCTATTTTCTTTAAAAAAGCCTGCTGGGATCAAGCTAGTTTACGGTGGGTTTTTCCTATTACACATTCAAGCTAGTTTTCGGTGGGGCATGTTTTAGCCTTAAATTACATGAAAAAAACAATTTGCGGTATTAGATCTTATATGAAAAACAAACCAAAAGTGCCCAAACACGTATTTTATTTTTTTGACCGCTATTTTTTTAACAAACTTACATTTTAAGCTGTACTGCTCTCCCGCTCCGTCCGCCATTGTTGCGAGTGTCGAGTCCAGCAGCCGGCGCGCAAAGCATGCTGGGATACCTTGCTCCTGTGAGGATCCATCAGACCCATCCTCGAAATGTGGGTGGAGCGAGGACGCGTTTGAGGACGCGAGAATGAGTATTCTTGGAATTCGGACAGTACTCGTCGCTGCGCTTTGACGTCATCGACCTCATAATGCGCTCTTACAAGCATCCTTCCTCTGGATTCGGACACAGCCTCTGTCTGACAAAAATATCCCTGGACTGTCATGTCTGATGTGAGGATGCACAACAACTGCACCATTTAAACTAGAAATAAAAGTAGCCATTACACTGTTGACGAACCTCCGGGCCTTCTCAATTTTGGCAGGTTTTACACCTGCCCTCCATCTACACCTTTGGGTGATGGACGACATGATGATGGTCATATGAGGGTGGAGAAGGTGAAGCCGGTGCAGGTCCTCCTTCATCATGTTGACCAGCTTCACACTGCTGACCACCCCCATGTCATTGCCGCCGCAGTGAATGATGAGGACATGAGGAGCTGCTCTTCCATGAAGGGAGTGAAAGAAGGGGAGAAGGTCTTTCCACCTCAGTCCGCCCCAACCAAACCAGGAGACACAGACGTCAGGGAGGCCAAGGTTGTCTCCGACGGTCTCTGCAGCTCTCTGGGCACCACGCCTCACGTAGCTGTCTCCAATGATCCAAATGGCTATGGAGAAAAAATTACAGGTTTGGCCTAGCTGTTTAAAGTACAAAACCATACATGAAGTGGTCAAGACAGGTACTTGGTACTTACACTTACTGCGTTGTGTAGCTGATGTTGGAGACACACAGGCTGCCATGGTGTCCTTTTAACAGATCAAAGAAAAAAATGTAATAAAAGAATGAAACTTAAAAACTCCCAGACCTCATGTCATATTTACTAATCAGCTATGGCTGATTTATTGTTTGGATCACAGCGAGTTACACTAATTCTAATATATTTTTATTTCTATTATACATAGATACTTTTTAACTGTTATTTTCATAAGACTGTTATCAGACTCTCTTGTTCTGGTTCTCATGATAATTCCGTGTCTTCCAGTAAGTTATCTTGTGCTTTCTTCATCTGTATAATGTCTTTTTACTTTTGGTGAATTGTACTGAGTCCAGAATAAAGGCTAGTTGGATGTACAAGATACAAACAGTTATTACGTTTTGGAAATACATGAAATGTATTTAGGCTGCTAATTTAGCTCGAATACTAATAACTGCCGTGTTTTCCGGACTATAACTCGCACTTTTTTACATAGTCTGGCCGGTCCTGCTACTTATACTCCGGAGCGACTAATTTAACAAAATATGTAGGCTACACCGCGCTGCTGCGGGCCGACTCCGACCCGCCCAAGAACGACTTCCCCTGTCCCGCTGGGAGGGTTTCAAAAACCGCCTTCCTCGACTGGAGAACGTGGCGCGCTGCTGCGAGCCGACTCCGACCCAAGAACGACTTCCCCTGTCCCACTGGGAGGGTTTCAAACACCGCCAGCATCTGCTGTAGCCAGTGGCGGGGTGCTGAGGGCCGGCTCCAGCCCAGGAATGAGCTCTCCTCGCCGGCCGGGAGGGTTTGAAACACCGCCATCCTCTCCTCTGCTGGCTGGAGACCATGGCGCGATAGCCCGGAAAATACGGTACTGAAAACTTGCTCAAAGCAAAATGTTTTCATTACGGAAATAAATTATAAACTTACCAATTTAATACTTTTTTAATCCAGGTACTTTTCACGAAAAGGCGCCGAAAACCTCCACCTAAACTTCGTGTGAGGTTCAGGTCGATGGGTGTTCCACAGTTAGCTCCGGTTGGGTTGAAGCTAGGTGGCTACATCCGTTAGCTCGGCTCCCACCTCCGCGTTAGCTTTGGGTTAGCCAGGGTTAGCTTCAGGTTAGCTTGTAGCTAGTTCGCCCGGGTGTCGTCAGTCGATCCCAGCCTTACAGCCGCACCCTCAGCTCCTCCTCTCTTCCCTTTTATGGAATTGTCTGGGCTGGACGGAACCTGTGACACGGTCAAAGTGGCGGTGGTGGCCACCTCCCATTATAGACAAAAAACGTGTTATTGGAGCCTATGGAATCGAATTGTCCAGTATGTACAGTCTATGGTTACAGCAGGACCAACTGTTAAGGGAATAATTTGAAGAAAATTTGTAACAAAGGTACATGTCTAGATTGTAACCTTCGACCACTAAAAACCACAAATAAAATGGGAAAAAACTTGGGTTCCAACACTATGCAGCATACTGCAAGAGACAGACATATTATGTAAATCTGATATAGAACGAGTACTGAGCACATAATGAATATTGTCAGCTAAACTGAGGAGAAGTACACTCTTACTGCAGAGGGGATGAATGACCTAGCGTTCTGTTTTACGGCGCCCCATTTTGAAACTGACAGAGAAAAAAAACAGAAAAAGAGTTATGTTGACCTTTTTTCCTCTTTGAGCGCATGCACGGTGGCAAAACCAGACACAGTTTGGCCTGCTTTCAATATGCGAGTACACTTCTAAGTTTACATACAAAATCCCAGATATATTAACACTTTACCATCCAAAGACATGAGGTTTAGAGAGAAACTTATTGCAGACAAAATCAAAGTTCTTAAAGCCCGTATGAGCTCTGGGATGACGGAAAATGTCGGTCTGATTTGCCTCGTCTCTTTATTCTCTCCTCTTGTCAGAATCAGAAAAACTTTATTTGGTACGGCTCCCATCTACCTGAATCCTCTTGCCAGAGGCGGTTTTACAATTAGGCATAGGTAGGCGGCCGTCTGGGGCCCCCTTGTGTTGGGGGGCCCCCTTGCCCTGACCGCCGGCACCTAATGCCACAATATTCATATTACCAACCTGTGGCCGCGGACGGGATTGGACATGCGCACTTCTCATTACCATAATTCCTGAACCGTTCAAGATATCATTAAAATTTCTAAAGTGCTGAAAAGATTAAAAATGGGGCTTTTCGTGCATATACAATACATTACGGTAGCCACCGGGATTCCCTGTCTTGAGCGCAACGAATCACAACACAGATTCAGAGACGTGCTGAGTTTGTCATCCAAAATGCTCCGTTTTATAACTTTTGAATGGCTGATCAGATTCAAATAATTCCAACGGTTCCTAAAAGTACATAAAAGCAGCTTTCCAACGATCTATAGCAGTGGTTCCCAAACGTATTTAGCCGTGCACCCCCTTCTATGTCCCGACCATGTCGAAGCACCCCCCAGTCCCCACATCAGGGCATGGCGCTATATATATATATATATATATATATATATATATATATATATATATATATATATATATATATATATATATATATCAGACATCAAGCTAAACAGACAGGGTTAACAAAAATATGGTCGACCTTTTTCCCCATCACTTTCATTTTTTAAATAGTAATTAATAAGCATTCGATACCATTACAATTTCCTTTGATTTAGTTTTAAATAAATATTTAGAGTGCCCAGGTAGCACATAAACAATGCAATTTAACGGTTTTCTTAAAGTAGGAACGTTTAACCTGTGCGGCCAGAGCGCTCTCCTTCCTTCTGCTCTGCATAAACCTGAGCTGATCACCTACTTGTGCGTAATCAAATGTCTATAGGGGAAACGATGGAAAAGCCATGAGGTTCACTTTTGCCTCAGACCGACTTATTGCTGTTTTATGGTGTGGCTGAATCACCTCTCTCTCTAGCAAACACATAAATTCAGTTTTACAGCTATTGAGCCAAAATAGTGCTGAAAGGAATTCACACACTCGAAATGTGAAGTGATGGCAAAAACAAATCTCGACTTTAATCCCATGTTCCAGTATAAGATCATGTTAGTTCAAAACTCCAACAAAGAACGCTACAGTTCCCTATGTTGGCACAGAAAGCATAAATGTCCTTCTAGTTTACTTCTGCTCACCTTTTAATCTTTTAATTTTACATGTTTCAAATTTTTTTTCTCTTCAGCATGTGTCAGTCTGTGATTTTACATTTTTAATGTTTAAACGAACATTGAAATGAACGTGTTTTTAAGTATCCACCAGAGTTCCTGACAAAAAACAGACAGTTCAGACAAACGCTGCACTTTAAACAGCAGGCCTTGATATTCTTTTCCTCCTGCCTCTCTCGCTCATCGCGCCATCTGGATGCACCGATTTGGAATGTGTCTGTTTGTTGATTAAATATAATCAGACTCGTATAAGATGGGTTGTGATGAAGTCTGTGATGCCTGTTCTGCTGCTGGTGCAAAGCCAGAATCCTAAAGACTCCTGCAGGTGCGTCCAGCACTGCTTTTGAAGCGTCATGAACAGAATGATCAGATTTGTGTGAGTAGTTCATGCAAAAATAAGACATCTGCAGCAGCGCTGGATGCAATAATGTCACAGCATCTCCACCATGACTCTAGATTTTATTTTCCTAATTGTCCTAATGAGATAAGTGCACTTGCAAGTCACCGGGACCATGAAGCCTGAGCTGAGGGAGAAGAAAGAGGCTGACATGAATGGGCTTTGGTTTTTACTCAGTTGCTGACGTAAGTAAACAATTTTCTGAAGAAGTGCCTCCGAGTTCTGAAGGGATCTGACAACAGGAGTCAGACAATGTGTGTGGAGAGAGAGAGAGAGAGAGAGAGAGAGAGAGAGAGAGAGAGAGAGAGAGAGAGAGAGAGAGAGAGATGGTGCCCAGGTCAGTGATCTCATATTACAACCTCCCCATCCCGTCTCAGAAACAGAGAGAAACCTCCACAGCTCGGTCAGCCAATCGTTCTTGCCATTCCTGTCTATAAATAGCATCTTGAGATTCCCCCATTCATTTAGCCCAAATGTTACAACAAATAGGTCTCACATCGCAGCCGTTTGCCAGAGTTGCAGCTAATTAATATCTCCCATTTTCCTAAAAAAATTTAAAAAAAATAAAAGAATAAAAAGAAAACAATTATTTCCTTATTTTAAGGCTTCTCTATAATTAGATGTTCTGTGCCACACTTTAACACGTCCCCCACTTAGTGGAGACCTGAGTTCTGGCCTCTCCTCCTGAACTTAATTGGCTAATTAGGAGGGCAATGAGATGAGAGGCCTGCTTTTCAAACTGGAGATCAGCTTGGGATCAATGAAAGACAGATTTATGCTAAACACATAGCAACAATGGCTCTGTGGGGGCTGACAACTCTCTGTTTCCTTATGTCATTAGACTGCAGCAACAAATAGCTGATTATGGGTGTAGATGGCTGCAGAACACAACCTTTTCCAAGAGTTTCAACAAGCTGCAACTTCTATCAGATCAATACACTTCCTGTTTGAGCCTTTATAACTTTTTTTTATTAAAACTGATAGAAATGTCAACATGTGAAATATAATTACACAATATAGCAGGGATTTATCTTACAATCTCAGCCTCAGGATGGGTGAACTAAACGTCCTTGGACTTGTTTATGCAGAAAAAAAATTGTTGCACAGATTAACTAAAGATGCTGCATCTCTATTCATGTGTGAGTCAAAGCATGAGTCATTTTAAATGTTTCAAAAGATGGAAGATGGATTCTACTTGTTACATTGTGATTTAAGAGAGCAGAAGAGGTCCCAAAAGTCACAGCAGCATCTTTATCACAACGAGAGACAAGAGGCTCACCTCAACCCACTGCCCGTTGTTCTGCACCATGAGGACGACACACGGGTCTGACTTGTTCAATGTGTCTCGGTCCAGCAGAGCTTTGCATGACACTCGCAGCTCCACTTTGGTGACGCAGGTCGCCGGGCCGGTCAGGCTGGTCGCAGGAGAGGTCGCTTCCTGCACGTCATTCATCGTGGTCCAAGGTGAGAGGAAGCTGCCGGCCAGCAGAACAGTGCTGTGAGATGGTATCACTCCAGGGGGGTTAGGGTGGGGTTGGAAGATGAAGTGATCGGCTGCAGGATCTGAGTTCAGATTCAAGCGAGACAGACCCTTTTATTTTGGTGCAAATGTCACAAAAACAGAGATTCTTGTTTGAGTCAAAGGAGAAAATAATTAAATAAGCTGTTGCGACTGCCTGTCAGAGCAACGCTGTTGGGGGGAGGATTATCTCACCTCAGTGGGGACGAGGGACAAGACATAAAGGTCACAGGCTTTTAAGAGTCTGGGTCAGATTTCTGCAAAGACATGTCTATAAAGCCCAAACTGAGAGGGAATTTGGTTTAAAAAACTAATCATTATTGTTTATCAGACCTCTTAAGTATGATCTATGAAACACTCAGGTGAAGAACTTAGCAGACATTATTCTATAGGGACATTTTTACCACTAACGTGTGACAAAGACACAAGTTGTTTCAATTTATTTATATGAGTGCATGAAAACTTAAACCACAATAACACATAAAATCTTATTTTAGCATCAACGAGTTAATTTACAAAAAGTAACCAGCGGAAAAACATCACACATCTCTCAGGTCATGTTTCAGGTTTCTTGAAAACTTAACTTTCACATAGCACTAAGGGTACCCTGTGTTTTAGACCTGAGACTACTTTTGTACTTCACTTGTCTTCTAAGTTCTTTTCTTTTTCAAAAGAAAAATCTGCACATCATGCATTCAGGAACAAGGACTGGATGGAAAATGAGTGGAAAAAAACAAGTAGAGACCAGAAATACTGGAAATGTCATAAAATGTCAGGAACAGCTGATCAAGAAGAGATGATGAGGAATTCTTGTTCCATAAAAATCAGGACATTAGAAGAGCCTATTTGTGGAAATCCAGACTTACTTTTCTAAATAGTTTTAAATGATTTACACTACAAGTGTTTAAGCATATTAAGGGTTATAAATTATTTTCTGCATTATTCCTTTTAATTTTAGGTTTTGTTATATACTTTTTCTTACTTTGTCCATATTCACATCAATTTCAAGCATACACAAAAGATCAAATATATTCACTTGCACTAAAAAGGGATAAATCTAACCATACAAGCTAAACACCTTGTTTTGGTTTAATTTGAACGTCAGCAGCCCTCCAGAAAATCAGGATGAAGAGATCTTCTACCTGAGGTCTCAGAGTCATTTTGGTGTGAGGGACAATTCAATCATTTATCAAGGTTTCTGTATGGGTTCGGGCTGCACAAATCCATGACTATACAGGCTATGATGATATCTCACAACCTAAAAGGACACCGAGATGTTAAACAAGAGACTTTTATTTTGGTAGGCTCCTTTAATCATAGGAACTCCTTTATATTTCATTTTGATTTAGCTTTGTTTATTTAGCTTTGATTCTAAATATATTTAACAATAAATTGGAATATTTCATGAGTTATTTTATTTTTACCATCTGCGCCCCATTAAAGCCGTCCAACAGCCGCCCCGCTGAAGTGCTCATGAGCAACACGGTTAGACGCAGCTGCTTTAAACGAGAACAGAGTATGAGACGGTGGGCTAAGTGTCCCCATCTGAGTCTCCTACGCGCAGAAAAGTGACTGATCCCTGGGACAGGAGCGTGTTTTTACTTTCAGCACCTTGGACAGAGTCCGCGGTTCAGACGGCAGAACCGGTTCTGCTCAGAACTTCATCTCCAAACGGACCCGGCGTCACGGTGGACGAAGCAAAACTTAAAAGCACCAATGAACAACATGAAGGCGAAAACAACTCAGCGGAGAAGAAAAGCATCTGAGCGGGTGGTTATTTATTCATCACTCAGGGATTATTTTCTCTAAAAAATAAAAAATAAAAAAATAAGCTCGCGAACAAGAATGAAACACTCTTCCTACCTGCTTGTTGCTTCTAGCTCCTGGAAACTCTTGTTTAATCCGCTCCCACTGAACACTGGTTGATTTTGGTCTGCAATTTCTCCACTGAGTCTCATTGGTTCCGCTGGTGAGGAGGGAGTGGGCTCGGCTGGGAGGAGACGGACGGTAGAGGGCGGATGTGAGGGTGGGCTGTTACAGGAGGAGGGGAAACAACATCTGATAGCCCACAAAAGCTCCACACAGATGCTGAAATCCATAAAACACGTGATGTCTTCATTGTTCATCTCAGTTTTTCTTAAAATTTGGATAAGACTAAAAGTGAGCAGGTGCTATACCTTGTCTGTGGATTTGTGCACTTTCTATCCCTCATCCCTCTAATTTTGACTTATTTTTCCAAACTTCAGGACAGGCACTTCCATAAACCTTTGCTTATGGGTGTGAAGAAAGTTGGGAAAATTACTAAGAGGAAGTTAACTCTTGCTGTGATTTAATTAAAATGGCAACATTCAAACTTCTAATTTGCAAGTTTATTGTGATTTTCATTATCATTTGGGATGTTCAATATCGGCTTTTTTACCTATAGAATAGAATTTATTGATTACACAATGGGTAAATTCACTTGTTAAGGCAGCACATACTTACAGAGTTAGGAAATATTATTATTAATAATTATTATAATAATACAGGTAAATACACAGAGAATTAGGCTATTACCGTAACCTTCAGCACTCAAAAAATGAATAAAATAAAGTAAAAGCAGGAAATAGAAAATACTTTCCACAAAGAACAGCATTAAGACACAGATATAAAAATGTGCATTTGGGTATAGCACAGGTATTGAATATAGCTTTGATGTTAGCATGTGACAGGATAGTGGAGTGACACAGTTTTACTGCAGTGGGAATGAATGACCTACGGTCGCATTCGGTTTTGCATCTTGGATGTCTCACGGATGTGCTCCAACTCAAAAATTTCTGATAGTAACACAAACCAATGCCAGTATAAAGAAAATATTTTAGGTAACTAAAATCACATATCTCCCACCATGCTTAAACTTTAAACATTTTCTGTGTAAAACACCCAGAGGAGTCAGAAGTCTTAACATTCCTTTTTCAGGCAGGAACTATAGACAGGATTTTAACTGCATCATCTCAAATGTTTTACTGGAGTAAAAACTACTTAAAGTATCAAAGTAAAATCTAAGTTTGTAGGTTTATACCACAGCACTACCACACCTCACCAAACAAATACTTTTACTAGAGGTAATGATGTGAATGTTAACTTTGAGATACTCTAAGCTACCTGCTTCAGTTGCACATACCTACGCCCATTGAAAATAATGCATTTAGTGCAAAGAAATTACATTTAAAAAACCACATGTGGCTGGTGCAATTCAATAAGAAGAGACATTTTTTAAATATAAGGAGTGGAAAGTGTAGATAATTACCTGAAAAGTAAAGTTGGATCATTACAAAATTGAAGTATAAATACTCCAAATTTCAACTTAAAGCGACAACGTGTAGATTTCTTTTACCATTGATCTCTGGAAATATCATTCGAAATATTGTTGAAATTTAACTAAATGATACCCCGGAGTTGAAAACTATTAGCGGCTTTGTAATATATAACCATACCAGGTCTAAAATACATGGGGGTCTAAATCTCTGGGCGACACCATATTAGATGCAGTTTCCTTCTACGTGAGCCTGTGAGGACAAAAGGCATTTACTGATTTGTAACAAGCAATTACAAAACTTTCACCATTCATAAATGTTGTTTTATACAGTTACCTCTTAGCTCCTTCGTCAGGGATGAAAGGGAGTCTGATGTGCTTGTCTTTTTGCTAGAGGTTGAACGATCTGACAAAGAACTCGATAAAAATTGAGCATCCAGGGATTTTTGACCCTAATGGCCACCCGTTGGTAAGATCTTACTCAGACACAAAATCACAGCTTGTTTGCAATGATTTAGGTATGTACTGCCCCTATCACCAGGAAAAATGCACACTGTCACTTTAAGTAAAGTAATAAAGTATTTGTACTTTGTAACTTGACTCCTTTGATTCAAACAGAACTCTTGGTCAAGGACTGGAAACAAGCAATCAGAAAACATTTTGAGAAATTACCGTTACAAAGTTTGCTGCACCAGTTTTTACATGATGTCAGTTTGTATAAACTCTAATGTTATTTAGTGTAATCTGATTAATGTATGTATGCACACCATAGTAGATCATGTTGGAAACGTATTTCTGGATTTTTTTTTTTTTGCCAACATTTAAGAACAGCAGCAGTTGAAAACCACAAGCTGTCATCCAAAAGGTGATTTTATGCTCATTTTGAATCAAAGCTGAGTGATTTAAACAAGAGGAGAATGTGAGAGGGCATGTCGAAGCCAATCCAGAGCTAAAACTGACAACATCACCTTCATTTGGAAGCTTAAAGATATTCAGAAATCTCGTATCTTTGTTAAACACGCGTTTGTATGTGCTGACAGTAAAACTGATCTTGAATCAAACAGAAGATTTTAAATCTCTTTATTTCTACTGTGTGTATGTTACATAACGCATTGTTCCTACGATGTTTGGACTTGAACCTTTTTCTCAGTCCACCCACCAACGTATTATTGTCATGAATGCATTTCTAGACATTGCATAACATCAATAGACTGAACTGACTAAACAGAGTTTAAAATGAAGGCCTGATAAAGGTACCAAACTTTATTTATTAAATGCTCTAAAACAGACTTGATGACTTTTAGCTTTACAGATGGTTTTAAGATCTTATTAATCCAACTTGTCCTTTAGAAAGAACAAAAAAAACCATCTTGTCAAACTTTGTTTTCAAACAGCAGAGTCTGTAGGAGACTGAAAGCAGGAAGGAAGGTCGGTCTAATCATTCCACCGGCGTGAAAAATAAAACACCTCACCTCTCTGCTTCTTGATCATCTGATCACTAAACAACACATAAAGCTGCTCACGGACTGATGGTATTCTTTAAATAAATCAGTGTTTGAACCTCACTGCCTCTTCTTGCATAGAGATTGGTCAGAAACGTCTGCTCTGGGGGACACACCTGAGCCCTGTTACGCCACAGCTCCAAATAACGACCATCTGCTGCTGCTGCTGTGTCACTTCAGCACCTCTCAGGACATTTCCACGAGTTTACACACGGATTATCTATTCATGCCCCCCACCCCCACCCCACACAGCGTGGCGCTGCTGCTGACCACACTGCAGGATCTCTGATCACCCCCACTTCTCCTCTCAGCCTGAGCTTTCTTCTAACATTATTGACACTTTTCTACCAACAGCTCCCCTGAGCAGAGATATTTTTGGACATGGATTTTTGGAGTTTACTTCAGCAGACCCAGTTTCCTTCAGGAGTTTTGTGACTGAATGACCTGGAAACATTCTTTCTATTCACATATAAAAAACTTTACATCACTACGATAAAAAATGACTCCAGACATGGTTGGAACTAAGAAAGCAAAAAAGGATTCTGTCATAAATATGAAGCGTATTCTGGCAATAATCTACCAGACACCTGAAGTTGGATTAAATAAACAGATGGTTATTTAGAAATGGCTTCCAGAACTAAACTCATCTGCTGTCAGTCTTTCCTGATAGACACTAAACTTCTTCTTAGCTTCTGAATTAAATTTAACAGCTGATGATCAAATGTTGGTGAAGAGATCTAGATGAATGAAGGAGCTGCTTAGGTGATTTAAAACACATTTAGTCAACATAGAAACATTTATCAAAATCCTGTTAAATTAGATACTGGAATTAATGATGGATCTTCAGGACCAGATCATCCATCCATTAACTCTGGTCCACATCAACCAAACTGTCCATTTAACACCATTTAGAGAATTATTAATGTTCAGGCTGCTCTGGGTCAGGGACACTTGCTTTTACACACACACACATACACACACACACACACACACACACACACACACACATGCACGCACGCGCACACGCACACGCACACACACACACACACACACACACACACACACACACGGACTGGAAGCCCCAAGGTCAAAGTGGGTAACACCACCTAAGGTGGTTGAGAACTACAGAGCCAAGCTCCTGTGGCACTTTAGATCCAAACTGACAAAATGGTGATGGGGAGCCAACTGATGGACAAACAACAGAAGACAGCCATTGTGGTTGATGTGGCAATACCAAGTAATGGCAACATCAGGAAAATGGAACATGAGCAACTAGAGAAGTACCAAGGCCTCAAAGCAGAACTTGAGAAAGCCTGGAGAGTGAAGACATCAGTGGTGACCGTGGTCATCGGGGCAGGAACCCCCAAACTGGAGGACTGGCAGAGCCCTCAAGCTCCCAGGCCTCTGGTAGAAGACCCAAGCTTGGAAGGATGAGACCACCTGCGGAGGGTGAGATGGGAACTTTTACACATAAATGTTTTGCCAAAATGTCTCAACTTGATTCTCTTTTCAGTTCATCACAGCTCAATAAAATATCACACTGAATGAACATCTTGTTTTAAAAGACCTGTAGAACTAAATAATTCACAATATTTTTGGTTACTGTCTGCCAGCACATAATTTTTCATCTCATTAAAAATGTATTCCTCCTTATTGAGAAAAGCCTACAGGGAGGAATCTTCCTTCTATCCACCTTTTGACCTTACAGGTGTCAGTCAAAATACTGAAATTCACAAATCCTTATTAGTGTAGTCTGAACTTCAATGTTTAAAATTTTCAAATGCTATAATTGGTTTACTCTTGTTCAAGTAGTTAAATTATATATTTTAAATATAGAGGCTAAATTTATCCAATTAAAATTAGATCATTAAAACTGAACTTGCAGCCCCTCAGTCTCATTTAGACACGAAACTGTGACTCTTCTGCCCCCTACAGGTGGACAAAATATTTACACACCCACTCAAACCTGATGGTTCTGCTCAGATTGATGCAGGCCCATTAAATCGGGGTGTTTTCTATTCATTTCAAACTAAATCACAAAACAGACATGCAACCTCATTTCAGTGTTGCTGTATACAGTGTGCAATTTGTAAAAAAATAAATAAATAAAGCAGCGGGGGTCATTTTTTACCTTTTTGTTCATTAAAATTATAACACTTGTACGCTGATTGCAGGGTGTTTTGTACATAGGTGTCCCCTTATGAAACTGATGGAGAAAAAAACAAACAAAAAAAGTTATGTTGTCATCTTTTTTCATCTTTGTGCGCATGCACGGTGGCAAAAACAGACACTGTATATGGCCTGCTATCAGTATGCGAGTACACTTCTAAGAAAGTTTACATACAAATTCCCAGATCAGTTTATAATCCAAGGAGATTTAGAGAGAAGTTATTAAAGCCTGTAAGAGCTCTGGAATGACAGAAAACGTATATACCCCTCCTCTATACAGTGTACATTTTCAGTGACTTTATTCCTTCCTTGTACAGACTTTGTCCATAACAATACCATCAAAGCAGTATTGCATTACTGGAATTCACAAAACAAACAAACCTATCTTCACCTGTGTCACCCATATTCTAACCTTGTACATGCCTAGCTCAAAGGCTAATAGATTTTTCCTCATGTCATCCGTTGTAGGGATAATGCCTCCCTTTCCTCATTATACCTGGTCATCACATCGCTTTTATTTAGGTTTTTAAATTGCTTAAAGTTTACTGCATTTTTAATTTCCTCTGCCAAGTTATTCCACAGTTTCACTCCCCTCCCTGAGAGACACATTCATTTGAATGTGCTATAGGCTATAGGCTGATACAGTTTTTTGCTCCCTCGTAAGTTGTAGTTATGAGAATCTTTATCTTGAAATAAGTTTAGAACATGGCGGGGCAAAAGATGCAAAAGATGCTTTATACATAGTTTGGTTAATTTAAAATTGACTAAATCGTGGATCTTCAAGAGGGACTGCACACCATCAGAAAATGTAACTCCACCCCAGTCAAGATTTGAAATATGGTATGATTGTGGGAGTTGCCAGGAGGCACGGAGTGTCATGGCCAAGTGCCGGGAATTTCCATCTTGGGAGGGAGGGGGAGTGGGAGGACACGGTACTGATGACGTGACATTGCACCAGCCCCAGTCAATTGCAAATTTTAAATGCAGTAGCCACAGTTCAACCCACAGGGGGCAGCACTAAGACGTTTTTAGACCTAGATTCTAGATTTAATCAAGTTTACACAAATGTGTCAAAAAATGCACAGAAACAGAAAGATTGCATTTGTAAAGACCCAGTTTATAAGTAAAAAGAACAGTTTACTTTTGGGTTTAGTTACTCTTTAAGGTTAAATTATTTAAAAACAGTAAGTTGGAATGAGCACTGTATTTAGTTGAATAAATTCTAATAGCCAAGTTTGCAAAGTAATTAACAGAATCAAATTGGTTTTATAAAGCGTTTGGTTTGGTGTGTCCTAAGTGCCTAAATACTCCCAACATCACAAAAAAAGTCAAACCCCGCTGTCTTCCTCTCACCTTTAGAGGAGAGAGTCATTAAACGTCTCCTCAGGTTTTATTATATTTGTTATTTCATTTCTCCTTCTACCTGTCGGAGTAAAGCCCTTTGGTGATCCTCTCGGGATGCATTGTCTTGGCTCTGCATTGGCGTCCTTCACTCCAGGAAATGCCGGCACTAGTTCCATGTCCCTCCAGCCGAGCGTCTTCAGAGCGTCTGCGCTCACCTTCAACAGGGACGGGGTTGCAAGATACCTCAAGGGAGTCCTGAACAGGCATATTTCACTCATCAGCACTTAGAACAGACTTTAAACAGCTGAGGTAGACAAAAACATGGATGGTCATCCCTCTGGTAGGTGTGGCTGCTGGAGAGGACCACAGTCCTGGAGAAGCCGCTGGATTTGATCCAGGAAACGAGCATCTGACGGAACTTCTTAGACTTTATCTGCAGTGAAAACAAAGTTTATAGGATATTAATTCAGCTGATGTTATAAAAACTTACTGAAAAAAGAAAAAAATAAACAATTCACCTGAATAATCGGCACTTTGACTTGAAGAACTGCCAACATCTGTTCTGCTGCTGTGAAAACTAAACAAAACATTTTTCATTTTTAACAGGAAGTAATGAAGTGTTCGCCCTGCAGAGTTCTAGATCCAATAAAGGACAGTAATGAGACGATACCCTCTGCAGGACAGTGCAGCGCCTCGGCATCCTCCTGAGCTGCTGTACGGGTCGTTCCCGGCCATCGGGATCAGACAGTCTGTGTTTAAGTAACCCACTCTGCTCAGGTTGAGAGTGGAAACGACGAGGTAGAAAACAGCCAGCTGACCCACGTTACACACAGCTACCGCAGGCTAGGAAGAGAGACAAAAAAAGTGAATCAGCATTTTTATCTCCAGCTTCTCAAAAGTCAAGATAAGCTGCTTGTGTTCTCTCAGAGCGGAAATGAAAGAAAGAAAACAATCTCTTATATAGTGCCTCTAAAGAATGAAAAATCAAGTTCACATAAACAACAAAAAATAGATTCAAGTACAAAAAAGCTTTAAAAAAATAAAAAGATCAAAAATATGTTCGAAATGAGAAAAAAATTGTGATTGTGATTAAAAAACATAAAATAATAATGTAAGGAAAGGAAGAGAGAAAATGAATAGGAAAGAGGGAATCAGTGAATAGTGGAATAAGAGCGGAATAAGGAGAGGGTGGTGACGAAGGTCACGCCAAAGCCAGCTTGAACAGGTGAGTTTTCAGCTGCTTATTAAAGGAGTCCACTGAGTCCACTGATCTCAGGCTCAGGGGAGAGAGTTCCAGAGTCTGGGGGTCACAGCAGCAAATGATCTGTCACCTTTGGTCTTTAGTCTGGTGCTGCACAACCAGTAGGCTTTGGTCACTGGACCTCAGGGACCTACTGGGGGTGTACGGACTGAGAAGACCACCAGCGTATGATAGTGTTTGTCCATGTAAGGCCCTAAAGACCAGAACCGGGATCTTGAAATGAACGCTGAAGTTAACCAGCAGCCAGTGAAGCTGGAGGAGAAGCGGGGTGATGTGGGTGTGTTTGGAGGACTTGGTCAGAAGCCGAGCACAGGCATTCTGAACCACCTGTAGACAGTTCCAGGAGGTTCTGCTCAGACACGTGAAAAGAGAGTTACAGTAGTCTAAGCATGAGGAGATGAAGGTGTGGATAACTGTCTCAAGTTCAGAGCGGGACAGAATGGGACTCAGCTTAGCAATGTTCCTGAGATGGAAAAAGGAAGAGCGAACGAGAGAACTGACATGAGAATCCAGGGTGAGAGCTGGGTCAAAGGTCACGCCAAGATTCCTGACAGAGGTTTGGCGTGGGAAGCAAGCTGACCAAGAGAGTCGCTGACTTTGGGAACCAGCTTGTCTGGGGCACAGATGAGGATCTCAGTCTGATCTTCATTCAGCTGAAGAAAGCTCCCAGCCATCCAGGTTTTGATAGAGTCTAAGCAGGTGTGTAACAGCTGCAGCTTAGACATCTCATTCAGCTTGAAAGAGTTGTACAGTTGGATCATCTGCATAAAGATGGTAGATTCCTTTAAAGGGGCTGGTACCCACGTACTACAAAGTACACATTTAGAGTACATTACTTTTACCTCATCTCAATGTTTTTATAGACTTTTCTTTCAGATCTGATCAAAAAGTTATAAAATAATGTCACACATTGGCCAACAGTAACAAATACAGCTCTTTATAACTGCATTTGTTTTGATCTGTCTGGGCAAAATAATAACTATAAATGAATCCTTTAATACTAATAATAAATACTCAAATGCATGATCTACTACTTAAAGTGATGATGTGCTTTTTAACAAACCAAGGGAAACAATTCATATTTTATACACTTTAAATGCATCGCTTATGCAATTAATAGTTACAATTCAATTCCCCTTTTTAAAATGTGCTTTTTTATTTTATTTTTAAGAAATCAGTTACAAGAAAATTACTGAAAAGAAGCTTTAAAGAAGAAAAGTACAATAAATCAGATGCAACTCCTACCTAAAAAACACATTAGCAAACATTTTGATTAGCATTATTTTACCAATACTCTTATTAATTCCAGTTGTGACACTAAATTTCTATAAAAACAACTCTGATTAGCAATAAAAATGGTGACTATAAGACAAAAGTACCAATAAAATCATAATAAAACAAATGATTATAAGTAAATGACAGGATTAACTATCCAGTCACGCTCACCATGACGAGGGTGAAACGTTTGAAGGCGACCAGTAAGTTTTGTGAAGAGACGAACATTCTGCTATTAAGTAGGAAATCACTTTAAATAAAAAAAAAAATGAAAAAATATAGCTAAATAGAATAAAATCCGACAGCTTTCCCAAGTTTCATGCTTTCTGAACCTTGTTTAGATTGCGGACCTTAACAATTTTAAATTGCTTAATGGTGCCTGAC